GTATCAATAGTGGTTTCTTCTCTGGTTTAGCTTGATATATTTTGGTTCACTGCAGAATAGAGTAGAGTAGAGTAGAGTATAGTATAGTATAGTATAGTATAGTATAGTATAGTATAGTATAGTACAGGAATAGAATAGAATAAAATAGAATTCTTTATTGGCCAAGTGTGACTGAACAGACAAGGAATTTGTCTTTAGTGCATGAGCTCACATTGTACATAAAAGCTATAAGGGATAAAACATGATCATAGTCATCATAAAAATACATTCTTCATAAATCATAAAATACAACACTTAGTGATAGTCACAGGATACTAAATAAGCAATGAACATAAATCATACTAGGAAACTAAATAAAACAATATAAATCGTAAAAGTCCAAGCAACAAAGCTATAGCCATATGTAGAAAAGGAGATAAGTAATAGGAAAGATGAGAAGATTAATAGTAATAGTAATACAGTCTTACTAAATAGTTTGACAGTGTTGTGGGAATTAGTTGTTTAGCCGAGTGATGGCATGGAGGGGTGGGGGTAGAACTGTCCTTGTGTCTGGTTGTTCTGGTGTGCAGTGCCCTATAGGGTCATTTTGAGGGTAGGAGTTGAAACAATTTACGTCCAGGATGCGAGCGGGTCTGCAGATATTTTCACAGCCCTCTTTTTGACTCGTGCAGTATGTCAGCTCAGAAGCTGGCCTGCTGATCAAGGCCATTTGGGAGGCTTCAGTGCTGCCAAAAATGGTGCTGAGAGGTAGGGAGGGGGAAATAGAGATAGCGGGGTTTTGTAGCCAAAACAAAATAGTTTTCTCCTTGAACCAAGGACATTCCCACAGGTGGCTGAAGAAGGGAAGAGTGAAGTTCCCAAGCAACCGGACAGCACCTTGATTGAACCATGTGACTGATTGTTTGGGAAAGGGACAAATTTTTACTTTTAATTAGGTGAAAACCGCACCAGTCTGTGCCAATATGATATATCCAATCAAACTGTTCTGTGAAGAATCGACCTGCCTTGGTGTTCTGTGTGCTATAGGTGTATTATTTGAAACCCTGACACAGTATACAGGTCAGTGGTGGGTTGCTGCCAGTCCTGAGCGGTACGGCTGTACCGGTAGTGGTCTAGAGCAGTGGAGAGCATACCGATACACTCGTTTGGCCCACCCACCTGCCCGCCTGCGCTCTATAGCTGTATTTATGCCAACAGGCACATTGTGCATGCTCACATAGCTGCGGAACCTGCACGCACCCCGACAAGCAGCTTGATGTCGCAGGGGCGGTGGATTGCACATGAGTGCATAGCGCATGTCGAGCGTGTGTACAGCGCACGTCAGGCGCATATCAGTAGCGACAATAACAGCAACCCACCACTGATACAAGTCCTCAACGGAAGGCAGATTGGTAGCAATGGTTTTTTCTGCAGTTCTAATTATCCGTCGAAGTCTGCATCTGTCAGGTATTGCAAGAGTCCAAGCTGAGCGAATGGTGTTTGCTTCTCCTGCAGGGCCAAATCATTGACTTCCGTGGGCTGATTCAGGATGCTATCAAAGGGGCGTCCAGTGAAATTTCCTTACACAGCTTTAACTGCAATCCAGATCCTTCGGTGAGTGTTCTTTTCCCCCTAACCAATAGCTGGCAAAAGTTATTACCGCGTTTTTCAAAGTATAAGACACTCCGGAGTATAAGACGCAGCTTAGTTTTTGGGGAGGAAAATAAGAAGGAAAAAAATTCTGCCTCCGCCTGCCAGCATCCATGGTATTCAGCTGACACACGCTAACAAGGTCAGCCAATGAATAGGCATAGCAACTAAGTCAGCCAATGAGGGCTATTTGGACTTTGAAATTTGCCGTGTGAGTAGCAAGGAGACAGGAAGGAGCCTGGCTTAGCCGAGAACTGAAAGTGAAACTGCTTGTGCTTTGCTTGTATTTACTGCTACCTTGGAAAACCTGCTTGTGGTAATGTATTGCATATTATGATTATTTTGAATCCTGCTGAATCAGTTACTGTGCTTTCTGAATGTGGCTGCTGCTGCAAACTTTGAACAGCCAGGTCAGCTTCAGCACTTATTGCAGCCTGATTCAGCACAGCTGATTGGCGGGATTGGACTTGGAATACCCCCCAATCAGCTGTTCCGGGCTGCAGGGATTGCCATAGACCATCGCTACCTCCATGCCTCACGTTTTTGGCCTCTGGTGGGGGTGGGTGGGGCTACATTCGGTATATAAGACGCACCCAAATTTTCACCCTCTTTTGTGGGGAAAAAGGTGTGTCTTATGCCCTGAAAAATATGGTATTTACTTTTTCTTTCATCCATATGTCATATTTGGAATTCGTATTTTGGAAGGGTTATTTGTATTATTACCAAACAATTTTCCCCAAGCTAGGGCCTTTCAGTAGTTTGAAGTTTAACTCCCATCTTCTTAGCCATAGGACAGAATATGGTGTAAGGAATTGTAACTGAAAGCAGCAGGTTAAGGAAGGCTGGCATTTGGGGGAATTAGGGATTATAGTCATAAAATAAAAGAAATTTGTTGGAAGAAAAATCAAGTCCTGTTCCAAGCTGGGAGAAAGATGCTGAAATGAAATTGAGGCAGGTTGCAGGAAAGAAAGTGTCAGTTTGTTTGTTAGCCATAAACTTCAGTGACAGCAG